TACGCAGTCGTTGCCTAGCGACGGTAACTGTTAACTTTTGGCGTTTTGCCTTTGCAATTAACATTAAATAGTCACAACGAAAGAAGAAGAGCGAGCCAATGACTTGCAGTTGTTGTTGTTGTTTTGTATGTACATTCTACATACATATACAGGCATACGCATAATAAAATTAAATGCGATATATCGAAAATATCGATACTTGTGTTGATATATCGTAATACATGTCGAATACAAATACATCGAAAAACATCGTTTGAGAGTTATTGATTATAATACTGTATTCGATTGTTCACTGTACACATACATACATACATACAAATGTATTTGTATGTGTACGGTAACTGTAAACTTTTGGCATTTTGCGTATGCAAACAACAACTTGTTGTTGTTGTTGTTTTAAAAATTTTGATTTGAAAACATAGAACACTATTTATTACAATTAAACAACAGTGTTCGATGGCCCACTGCATACATACAAACCTATATATGTATATAAGAATGTATGTACATACATACTTATTGAGGTACATATGTACATACTATACATACAGACGTATGTATATACATATGTATGTACGTATGTAATACATATGGTGCTGGTGTAATTCATAATGCGAAATTCTTTCTAAGGGGAGCAATGTCCCCCCTGCCCAACCTGCGTACGCCCTTGTAGTCCGTTGTCCTAAAAACTCCTTATGCCAAATGTACTAAACAAAGAAAAAATAACATAAAAATGTTTATGTTATAATGTTAATAATTTTTAATTAATTAACATTTTTTGCCCTGTCAGTGCAAGACGAATGTACTTTTATACATATGTATGTATGTAAGTACATACATGTGTACAAATGAACATTCACACATTAGTGTCTCACATTTTGCTTTGGCTACTTCAACCGTTTGCACGCAACTACACGAACAGCTGCTTGTATGTATGTATGTGTGTGTGTGTATGTATACTTAGTTGTCCCCAACTGTTTGATATTTTGTATTGTTTGTTCTGCCTGCATTTGTAAAATGCATATTTTAAAAATCGTTAAATGCAAAGTTGTAATTTTAGTTACGTAGATTATATTACCCAAATTTGAAATCGATCTGACAAAATTTATAACACAAACTTTTCATTTGAAAAAATGAATAAATATTAAAACCCCAATAATTCAAGCTCCAACACAAAAAACCGAGTATGCAGTTTTGTTTGTATTCTTTTATAGATTATAAAACCTAAATTTAAAGTTGATCGATTCAAAAATGCAGAATTTTCAAACAAACTTTGGAGCTACTTTTCCCCCCTTTGGAGCTCGAATTTTCCAAAATCCCTTCTTAGTGCGCATCTACACCATGATAGGATACTTGAGCCCAAATTTCAGTTTCCTAGCTTTTACCGTTTGGGCTGTGGGGTGTTGATTGTGTTTCAATTTTTCCACGGAAAACCCCCTTTTTTCATGCCCCAGGAAAAATGGTGAAAAACCAAGTATACAGTTTTTCTTGTATTCTTTTTGAGAGTATACAAACTAAGTTTGAACTTAATTGGATGAAAATTGTAGATTTTTCATACAAACGTTGGAGCTCGTTTTCCCCCCTTTGGCGTTCGAATTTTCCCAAACCGCTTCTTAGTGCTCACCTACACCACTGAAGACAACATGTGTCCAATTTTCAGCCTCCTAGCTCTTACCGTTTGGGCTGTGCGTTGATTGCAAATAGCTTTTCGTTTACCGAATTTTCCACCGCAAAATCATTATTATTCAGGCCGCACGAAAAATATTGAAAATCCAAGTATACAGTTTTTTTTGTATTCTTTGTTTCCTAGCTTTTACCGTTTGGGCTGTGGGGTGTTAATTGTGTTTCAATTTTTCCACGGAAAACCCCCCCTTTTTCATGCCCCAGGAAAAATGGTGAAAAAAAGTATACAGTTTTTCTTGTATTCTTTTTGAGAGTACACAAACAAAGTTTGAAGTTAATCGGATAAAAATTTTAGATTTTTCATACAAACGTTGGAGCTCGTTTTCCCCCCTTTGGAGCTCGAATTTTCCAAAACCCCTTCTTAGTGCTCACTTTCACTATAAGAGGGATCTTGTGTCCAAATTTCAGCTTCTTAGCTCTTACCAGTTGGGCTGTGCGTTGATTGCCAATCAGTCAATCAGTCAGGACAAACTGTTTTGTATATATAGAGATACATATGTTTTCTTTTCAATCTGTACCTCTTTATTTAAAATACGTACATACATATACACATGTTTGCCCATAATTGCAAATAGCACTATGTACATGCATTTTTTATATGGTCATACTCGGGTAAAACCCGCGCAATACTCGAGACAGCGCAATACTCGAGAAATACCCGAGTATAGCTCGCGCAATACCCAACCGATACTCGAGCAATAACGGCACTATACTCGTTCGATCAAACGCGCATTCTGCAAAGTCTGGTTTTCTTCGATAAGGACCCAGTCATCTTAAACGAAGTGACCGAGCCTGAAGTGTTTGAAAGCAAACCAATCAAGGCTAGTACCCGTTTCCAACGATCAGCATACTCGAAGTGACCGAGCCTGAACTGTTTGAAAGCAAACCAATCAAGACCGGTGCTTGTTCGTAAAAATAGAAAGATTGCTCATGCAAGTTCGATCAGAAAGTACTCAACTCGTTCAAACTCGTTTGCAGCTAAGCAAAGATCTGATTTGATTGAATTTTCAGCAAGGGTGGTCGAACATACTTGTTGCAGTTCTCTGCTACATATGTACATACATATATTACTCAACTATTTCATGAGCGCAAGAGCGTTGGCAGGGGGGGGGGGGGGGGGGGGGGGTGTTGCCATCCTACAAACAATTTTCCCATACAAAGTCTACCACACGTTCATTATTATAACGCACCATTTCGCCTTAGAATGGAACTGAGTTGGATTTGTTGAAGTTTTTTCATTGATTATATGCATAGATTATTATACCCAAAGGGTGAAAGGCTATACTAGTTTTGTGCGAATGTATGTAACAGACACAAGGAGGCGTGGCAGACCCCACAAAGTATATACATACATATATTGTTGATCAGCATGACGAGACGAGTCGGCCTAGCCCTGGCTGTCTGTCCGTATGAACACCTGGATCTCAGAGACTATAAGAGCTAGATACACCAAATTTTGCACAAAGATGCCTTATGTGCGTACAAATTTGTTGTTTTATTTTTTTTGGTTTTCCGCCACTTCCATGCAAGCATGTTTACACAGACACGATGCGCATAGGCATTCATACACTGACATAAACGCAATTGCTTTGTATATGTGCAATAATACACCCTTTACGTGATTCAAATACCGAGAGAGGTAAAATAGATCGAAAATTTTTTTTAAATTTTCTTAATTTTTGTTATTTTCTATAATTATTGTAAACATATGCACAGAGTATTTCAAAGTAGGGACACCCAACTTTAGCTTTTGTACTTGTTGTACCCTGTGCCCAAAGGGTACAAGGGTATATTAGTTTTGTGCGAGTGCACATGGAACACACAGAAGGAGGCTTGGTAGACCCCACAAAGTATATATATTCTTGATCAGCATGACAAGCCGAGTCGATATAGCCATGTCCGTCTGTCTGTCCGTCTGTCTGTATGAACGCAAGGACCTGTAGGAGCGGTTGTCGCAAATATTAATAACTTTGCTTTTATTTATTTTTTATACCCTGTACCCGTAGGGTAAAAAGGGTATATTAGGTTTGTGCAAAGTATGTAACATACAGAAGGAAGCATCTCCGACCCCATAAAGTATATATATTCTTGATCAGCATGACGAGAGAAATCGATCTAGGCATGTCCGTCCGTCCGTCTGCATGAACGCGAGGATCTCAGAAACTATAAAAGCTAGACTAACCAGATTCTCCTAGATCCGAGTAAGGACGAGGTTATTTTTTTTTTATTTTCCCCCCTTCCCCCGCTGCAGAATTTCGTCAATAGCGTCCACATTTCAAATGCTACCTAAACCAAACTTTGCACACATAATTTATAAATAATTATAAATTATAAATAAAATTTTATTCAATTCTGTCAATTCTAAGAAAAGTTATTAGCGAAACAAATTCTCGCCAGTACAACCCCCACAAACTGCAGCAACAAGTTCGCTCTTCTTCTTCCTCTTTTTGCTGCTGCTTTGGGCGCATATAACTCAGTGACGGAAGTTTACCTGGGTACAGGGTATTACACTGTCGGGCTTGCTCGGCTGTAGCGTTCTCTCTTGTTTTTATTTTGTAGTAAAATGTTATTTTTTTTTTTTGCCTTTATATTTAGTAGTAGATTCGGTTTTACATTTAGTAGTAGAATCTATGGTTACTCTTAGTAGTAGATTAGTTGCATACGAGCGCCATCTATGGTCGTGGCAAGGTTCATTTCTCTTTTCCTTTCTTTTGGCTGAATTGTCAATGTCAGTGTTCTCCTTGCACCTTTCTTTTGACAACTGCCACCTCAACCACTTCCGTGGAAGGGCTAATGAGCCTAGGTTGGAACTAGCCACTTTCTTTTTCTTTGAACCGCCGAACGGAACAGACGTACTTTTTCGCATAGCAAAAAGAAATTAAAATTTTAATTTGGGCAAGAAAAAATTGCTCCTGTGCAACAAATTTAAAAGAAAAGAACTTTTGTTAAAAAAAAAATAAAACAAATGTTGGTATAAAAGTGAACGCCTGCGTTAAGTGCAAGTTAGAGCTACTGCCTATTTTCTTTTTTTTTGCTTGGATGCCATTTGCGTTGGCAAAGGAATTGTTCTTAAGTTGATGCCGAACAGGATTCGGCACTAAGTCTGGAGCCTATATACCTATGCATATACCTATGTACGATGCATTCTACTACGTCTGGAGCTATTTATTAAGCCGCTCTTAAATTTTTGTCCGAAAAAACGAACTATTTTCGTACTCACTGGCGGACCCGAGAACTCTAAGCCCAGCAGTTGATGCGCGGATGTATACTCCCGGCGGACCCTGTGCTTATGACCAGTCGCCAATAGGTTAAATTACCTTTAAAATGTGCCTGCAGTGAAAAGGAAAATAAGAGAGTGAGGATAGGCAGTGCCGCAATCTGTAAGCGCCGAGTAAAGCCAAGATTGGTAGTTGTATTTATTTTTTGGTTGCTCCTGCCTACAATTAACAAACTTAGATATTGTATTTTTTTTTTTATTATTTTTTGTTCTCTGTTTAAAATAAAATGAGTGTTTTAATGAGTGCATTTAAATAATGCAAAGCCTGCCGAACACCGCCGAAAGATCTTTCGCCGTTGGATTCGGAGTCGAAACCGTAAGTGCGCTCTTTTTAATTATCTACTTGATTACTACCAACTAGAGATGGGCACGGGCCGGCTATTTTCGGCCCGACACGACACGGCCACGAAATTAACTTTTAGAAACACGCACGCGCACGCACGACGAAAATTTTTCTTAACACGGCCCAACACGGCCCAACACGAACTTTTTATATATTAAATATAAAAATTAAAAAAAAATATATATATATATATATATATAAACATTAGAAATTTTTATTCAGAAAGACTAACTAACTAACTAACAAACACTAATCTTGCTTGCAAACAGACGTGTTTTTTATCGCTCCGATCAAATCTTTAATTTGTTAAGTTCTATGGGACATTTTACGCCCTTAGTGAAGTTACAGTGAAACTTGAAACTGTTCGTGTAAAATTTAATTAAAGGCATTAATAATAATAACAATAATAAGAATATTCGCACGAAAGCATTTTTCAAGCGCGCAAAATTTTACATACAAATAGAACAATACCAACACTGAGTCATACTCTCACAAATACTCTCGCATCAGCGTTCAACGAATCACTCAATAAAATACAAACCGAGAAATCGAATTTCGAACTACACTAAACAACATGGCACCGCAACCCAACAAACGTGCACGTGAAAACACCAGCACTGACCTTAAGGAGGGCCGCGTTTGCGTTTCCACGGTGTCCCGTATGTAGAAAATGAAAATCTTAAGGCGATTTTCAACTCTCTCTGCTTCGCCTTAGGAGTAACTCGGGCACCCAAGTTGAAAGAAATCTATCGGGTCAAGCAAAGCAGGACCAATAATTCCATTGTTGATCCGGTGATAATAATTAGACTCGAACATATGCGCGATAAAATTTCACTTTTGCGGGCAATTGGCACATACCGGCGAGAAACTCAACAACAACTAAACTTGCTGCTCCTAGGTTTTGACTCGCCAACCCCAATTTACATAAATGAGCAACTAAGCAAACGAAATTATGATATTTTTAAAGAGGCAATGAAAATGAAGAGACAGAAGTTGCTCTTATCAGTATTTACTCGCCGCGCATTAGTGCATGTTAAAACACCTACTTGCGATACAGTTGTTCGTGTTGATGGCATGCAAACGCTCTTGGCACTGCAGAATAACTGCATAAAAGCTTTAACCCCCCTTGCCGTGCCATCGGCTGAGACGGACGGCGTTGGAGCTTTAGGGGAACACCTTAGCAATAGTAACTTTCGCACTTAAGAAACTTCTGTTATGCTTTAATTTTAACATTGTTATTTGTAGTAGTAACTGTCATGCTTGTTTTAAATTAATCTATTCTTTCTATTTATATTTTACACCGTATACTTCGAGTGCGTTTCTGAAACGACTTCAAATACTTAAATATGCAAATTAGTAATAGTAGTTTAAATGCGAGCAGCCATACAATGCTAAAAGTTCTTTGCAACCGAAAGCCAGGCTTACATATTTGTCATAACAATGCGCAAAGCCTAACGAACAAGATAGAAGAATTTAGGAATATGTTTGTAAATTCCAAGGTTGATGTTATATGTGTGTCTGAAACTTGGTTTATGTCTGACATGTGTAGTTCGTTGATTAATTGTGATGGATTTAATGTTTTCCGATCTGATCGTGCAGGCCATGCGGGCGGAGTTGCAATATATGTAAGTAAGAAAATCAAAGCCAGAATTATATGCAAACAACCTGAGGGGTGTGCAATTGAATACCTTTTTATCTCACTATATCACCTAAAAAACTGCCGAAACATCTTAATTGGCTGCATTTATCGACCTCACCGCAACACAAACTACACTGATCTGATCAGTATATTTTCTGACATCTCAATGAACTATGAAGACGTAATTCTAACGGGTGATTTCAATTCCAATGCTCTGTGTGACGCTCGTCTAGTTGATGATATGGAGGCATTAGGCATGAAAATTGTTAATGCAACACAACCAACACATTTCTCACAAACCTCTAACACATTACTTGACCTTTTTTTTATTAATAATTTAAAGAAAATCTTACTATACGACCAACTTTCTGTACCTGTGTTCTCTAAACATGACCTTATCTTCTTGACACTTGACACTTTTATTGATAAAACTGACCATAAAATAGATTATAGAGATTTTAAGAATATTGACATTGCACAGCTAAATGACGAATTTTCTTTACTTGATTGGGACGATATTTACCGGTTACCCACGGTCGATTCTCAACTGCAACAATTCGAACACAAAATAAGCTACCTCTACCACAAATTCGTACCACTACGAACGAAAATCGTTAGACCCACACAAGAACCTTGGTTTAATGACACAATTAGACTTGCCATTAAAAAACGTAATGATGCATATGAAAAGTGGAAAAGATATAAATCTGAATATCACTATTCTAAGTTCAAAAACCTCAGAAAGCAAGCATCTTGCTTGATAAATGCTGCCAAACGAGCTTATCATACTTCACAATTTAGCAATGCGATTTCAAGCAATCAGACGTGGAATAAGCTTCGTAGAATGGGTATTGGTAAAACGAAATCATTTCTTCCCTCCGATGTTGACGTGAATGAATTAAATAATAAATTTGTACAAATTGAAGTACCTGTCATTACGCATAATACATATGTAAACGCTGTACCTAATGTAACCTATGATAGTAGTTTTAGCTTTCGTTGTGTCAGTCAATGTGATGTCCTAGAATCAGTTCTTAAAGTTAAGTCAAACGCGGTCGGATTTGATGACCTACACCCAAAATTCATCAAAATGATTTTACCTAAAGTCTTAGCGCATATTACACACATTTTTAACACATCAATTATGACTTCCTGCTTTCCTGATAAGTGGAAAATGTCAAAAATCTGTCCTATTTCTAAGACTAACAATGAATACCGTCCTATTGCTATTCTTCCTTATCTCTCAAAAGTTTTCGAGAATCTAATAGCAAACCAGATTAGTGACTTTCTAAACAAAAACCTTCTCTTATGCGATGACCAATCTGGTTTCAGAAAGCACAGAAGTTGTACCACAGCTGTCCTAAATGTGGTTGAGGATATTCGCAGTCAAATGGATACTGGCTGTGTTACTTTTTTAAGCTTACTCGACTTCAGTAATGCATTTGATTGTGTTAATCATGAAATAATGTGCACTAAACTTAATAGAATGTATTACTTCTCAAAAACGGCAACAACTTTTATACATTCTTATTTGTCCAATAGGCGTCAAGCTGTTGTAATATCGTCTGATCATTCTTCGTTGTTACCTGTTAGTCGCGGTGTTCCACAGGGATCTGTTCTTGGTCCACTATTGTTCACCTTGTACGTGAATGACCTCCCTTATGTCTTGTCTAACAGTAAAGTCCACCTGTATGCTGATGATGTTCAAATGTATGTTAGTCGTCCTGTTACTAAATTAAATGAGTGTATAAGTGTTAGTAATGGTGAACTAGGTAAAATCTCTGACTGGGCTAAAAACAATGGGTTAAAACTCAATCCCACTAAATCTAAATGCCTAGTAATCTATAAAAACCAACTAAACACTTCAAACTTCAACTCCCTTGTGATTGGAGACACTCCGATTGAATATGTCGATCAAGCTAATAACTTAGGCTTCTGCTTCAACAGGAGCTTGACATGGAACAATCATATAAATAAGGCTGTTGGTAAGGTTTATGGTGCGTTAAGACTTCTGAACTTGACTCAGCAATTCCTACCTGTAAATCTGCGAATGATGATAGCGAAAACATTCATACTTCCAATGCTATCTTATGGTGTTGAGGTATATGCAAATTGTGACGCAATTTCATTCCGAAAACTAAAAGTCGCTTACAATAGTGTCGCTCGTTATGTTTTCGGTCTAAGACGCTCTGATCATGTCACCAGCTATGCATACCAACTTTTGAACTTAAGTATCATGTCTTGGATAAACTTTCGAGTTTTATTATGTCTACAAAAATTGATAAATACTAAGGAACCAGCATACCTGTATCAAAGAATTAAATTTTCCACATCTCTAAGAACTCATAACTTAGTATGTCAGCGCCACAGGCTTCTTTTATCCGACAGACAATTTTGCATATATGCTGTTCGCATTTGGAATGGACTACCAACACACATAAAAAACATCAGAAACGCTACTCAATTTCGAAGTAATCTAAAAAAATATCTTCAAAATTAGCATTAATAAACTGTCACGATAACAAGCATGACATATACAATCATTTTACAATGTAATTTAGTTTTAAGAAAAATATAAATTTTATTAAACTTATTTTAATTCTCTGTCTCAAATTTTAATATAATCTCATTATAAACTAACTAGTTTAGTACATATGTAAAACTCTTTATGTGACTAGTGCTATAACATATAAGTAACTCTACTTGTTGCGCTAGGAAGTAATTAACAATAAATAAATAAATAAAATAAATATCAATATTTGAGCTAAGAAGCCGAGTACGTCGCTCATTTAAAATATGTCCAGAAGTGGAAAAAACTCGTTCGCTTGTTGCAGAGCTGACAGGGATATTGAGTATATGCCTTGATAATTGCCTTAGCATTTTAAATTTTGTTGCTTTTTTCCAGAATATTAGCACACAAATTCCTGGATCAACAACACTGCTTATATAGTCATCTATTTCAATATCCATTCTTGACCTGTCCAATTTAATTTTTTTTTTTTGAATTATTAGTGTCCAAAAATTCAGAAAAGTCGTGTTGACTATTGGGTGCTTCGTTTTCTGATTCAAGTGTTAAATCGTTATTTAAGCTATCATTTATTTCAGCTAGCATCGATTTTAGTGTTCTTTCGTGTTTCCTCGTGCGTGTTTTGTCGTGCCTTTTTGGCTCAACACGAACACGCACGGCCACGCACGAAATCGGAATTTACAACACGAACACGCGGGCCCACGCGTGGCACGAAGTGCCACGACAAAAAACACGGCCCGTGCCCAACTCTACTACCAACAAGCTTAACTACGTTTCTCCAGGCAAGCCCACATACTGGCCAGCAGACCCTAACAAGCTTCCAGATCTTATTGATTTCGCAGTCATCAGAAAAATTGCACGAAACATGGTAACAGCTGAGGCGCTACCAGACTTATCTTCTGATCACTCGCCAGTTTTAATTAACCTCCTCTACCACCCGAACATTGCTGAACGACCCAATAAAATCACAAACAGCAGAACTAACTGGAAGAAGTACAAAAAATATGTATGTTCACATACCGAAACAACGCCTACACTGACTACGAAGGACGACATCGAGCATTCATCGGATATACTCTCGTCTGTACTAGTTGCAGCCGCGAAGGTCTCAACTCCACAAGAGACAAATATAAAATCGAACCACATCAAAACAAACCGAGAAATCGAGCACCTGGTTTTAGAAAAGCGGCGACTGCGACGGGAATGGCAATCCAACAGATCTCATACTGCAAAGTACAGACTGAAAGAGGCTACTCGCAGACTTACCAAGGCACTCAAACTAGAAGAAGCGCATGCCCAGCTCCAGTACATCGAGCAGCTCTCTCCCACAAGCACAAAGTATCCACTGTGGAGAGCTCACCGAAGTCTAAGCGCTCCAACCGAAACAGTTACACCATTGCGGAGCCCCACTGGCAGCTGGCTCCGTAGTGACGAAGAAAGAGCGAGTGCATTTGCCGCCCACCTACAACAAGTATTCCAGTCTAACCCTGCCACAAACTCTTTTGTACTTACATCTTCATCATGTGCCAACATAGAAGAACCATTTGAGCCCATGGAATTCCAGCCGAGTGAAATTGCTAAGGTTATTAAAGAGGAACTGAAGCCCGGAAAATCACCTGG